CGCGCCAAACGAGGAGAGAGCCGGCTTGCTCGAGCAAGGGAGGCGGTTTCGACCGGAAACGAGTCCGCAGACGACGTACGAGACAACGTCCCAAGACGAAGCCGACTCCTAGAGGCGAAAGGCACGCGCCGACCAACAAAGAGGTAGAGGGCGGCCCGACGGCGAGACCGCGGGCGACACATTCCGGCGGCTGCGTGACGGCGGGCGATGGAACCGTCCATGAGCTTTCTCGGAACCTTCCCTGCAGGCGCTCTCCGCGGCTGCGTGACGGCGGGCGCGGCGCCGCGCGTCGCCCCCGTCCGCTTCGGCCCCGCCCCGTCCTCTGCGCGCGGGGAGCGAGTCTCCTCGCTCAGCGTATACACCGCCTCGAGCCCGCCCGCGCTGCTTGTCGCCGCGGCGGGGGCGCGCGCGGAGCGGCGATGCACGGAGCTGGGTCCGCGACGCTTCTCGGAGCCCTTTCCCCCGTAGGCGGGCGCGCACGCAGAGGCGACCCGCGTCCTCCTCTCCGCCGGCGCGGACCCGAACGTTGCGCTGCGCCGGCGGTCGGGCTCGTGGCGGAGTGGGGCCACGCCGCTCGCGGCGCTGCTCGCCAGCCTGCCGTACGAGGCGCTGCTCACGGGGAGACGCGGCTCTGCCCTCCCTCGGCGGCTCGACCGCCCTCTCCCCTCGTCGCTCTCTGCCGAGGGCGAAGCGGCGCAGCGGCTCGACGCCTGCTTCGCCGAGACCGCCTCTGCGCTGCTCGGCGCCGGCGCCGACCCGCTCGCCGCGCCGCCGCTCGGCTGGCTCGACACGGAGGAGGGGCGGGCGCTCTTGCCGGACCTGGCCGCGCGCGTCCTCGGCGCGAGGCGGCGAGCCCACAACCGCTACCGATGGAGGCTGGTCGCGAGGCTGGCGGGGGTGCTGGGCACGTGGCGGCTGCGCGCGGCCGCGCGCTGCTACGCACCGGGCGGCGCGGGCGCGAGCGCGGCGGCGGAGGACTTTGCGGAGCGCGCTGCGGGCAAGGTGAGCAGTAGCACGGGGTGCCCTTGAGTGCTCAGCCCCTTGGAGTGTGAACCTGTGAAGGCTTCGAGCCCTCCGGTCTACTAGCCCTCCAGTGTGAAGATCCGCAGGACTGGAGCGAAAAAAAAGAAGCGAGTGCTGAGTGCTTAGAACCGCAAAAAAAAGACTCCAATAATCTCGCGGCGGAGAGAGGCGGAGTAAAAGCTAAAACAGTAATGCGGAAAAGTGGTGTGAACCAGAGTCCCTCTTGGCGGGAGCGACGTTAGCGCAATGCCTCCCGTGGAGCTGCGTGCCGTCGCGCCGCCCTGCCGTTGCCAGCAGCCGTGTACCCACAAGGCGGTGATTACGAGCTGCGCATACTCAAAGTAGACGAAGCCGCGAAGCCTGGGAAAGAAGAACTCCTTAAAGCCTTGCGCCGCACATGTCGTCGAATGGCTCTCGAATGGCGGGCCCGAGCGCAGCTCGACGGCGGTGCAGAGGATCACCTCCAGTGACAAAATCTCGACGAGCGATGTGGCCAGCCACGCCTGCAGCGCGCGAGAGCGCGACAGCGGCGAGGGTGAGGCCACAGCGGCGGGAATGAGGCTCGAGTGGAGCCGGAGCGCGAGCTTGATCCCGTTGGAGCCGATGGCGATCACGATGTAGGCGATGAGGCGTGCAGTGTCGGGGCATTGGGCGTCGATGCCCTCAAAAGCAAGCGGCTGCAATGGGCCCATGAACATGCCCAAGATGAGCGGCACCAGAGACGTAGCCGCACCGGACTTGCCAAAGCTGGCCGGACGCGTGAAGCTCCGCGTCGTCTGAATCACCATGGTCGTCTCCATCCACAAGCCTGTGAAGAGCGCCCACATGCGTGCCTGCAGCAGCCCGTGGAACGGCTGTGGTTGACGGCGCAGCCCGTCGGCCACTGCTGCAGCGTTTCATTGAAATTGAAGACCGACTGGAGGCCTGGCTGAAGAACGAGTGCCGTGACCCAGGCGAGCGGCAGGACCAAGGCGAAGAGGAAGCCAATGCACGCCGGGGTCAGGAGGGCGACCATCCAGCGGCGCGGCTGCGCTCCGAGAGTATGCCAGAGATCTCGTGACGGCTATCTCGACCCGGCGCTCGGGATCTGAAGCTACGAGGCCTGGGTTGGGGCTATCAGTGGGCTACATGCCGCTTGCCGCGGCTCCTAGGTCGACGAAACGCTCGCGCTTCACCCTCCCCCCCTCTGACGATAGGTGCCTGCGTCGCGCGCTCACTGCGTACGTCCCTCCCCCCATCGCCGAGCCGCCCGCCGCCCCGGACACGGCCGAGCCGCGCCCGCCCAGCGCGCCAAGCATGCGCGAGGCTCCGGAGCCCGCGGCGGACGCGC